CAAATGTGATATTGGGTGGTTTCAATCAATATTGAAATATTGGTGGACAAATCAACTTTTATTTTGTTGTTTATTATGAAAGTGGCCCCCTTGTTGGGGGGTGGGTTTTAGGGGGGTGGGGGAACATGAATGATTGGAAATGGCATTATTTTTTGACGGTCTAGATTTGTTGGATCTTTCTCTATTCCCCTTGTATTGAAGATCGATTGGTGATCGTCTGATCTCGAAGTGCACTGGTTAAATCTGCTCTAGTTAAATAATTTGGAGTAAATTACAACCACTCCTGAGGTATGGTTAAATTATAAAAAAATTCATCATGTTTGGATAATTGCATTTATTCCTTAACGATGAATCTTCTTATATCTCCACCCTTATGGTGTATAATTCAACATAATCATCTAGATTTCGTGGAATGTTCTCTAGTTTGTTTTCGTTTTGTGCAAAAATACAGTTTCTGATGCGCCACAATCTGATATATAATAGTCAAAAAATACATCTTATGATCATCTACCTTCAAAATGTGGAGCTCGAATGGGATAAAACGGGTCCAAAATTGAGAATATTTCATATAATGTAAAAAATTCCACTAAATTTGAAACTGTAAATGTGGACGTATAAGAAGATTAATTATAGTTAGAGGTGATCGTAATTACCTAAACAAGAGGGGGTTTTCGTAATTTGACCACCCCTTAGGGGGTGGTTGTAGTCTACCCAATAATTTGCATATCACTAGAAAACCGATTATCGAAAATTCTCTTTTTTCGATTGATAAAACATAAACGAACAACCAACCATATACAATTAAGTTTTTGTAAATTAATATAGTCTCCACTAATAAAATTCTGTTAATTCGATGAAATATTAACTTATTGAACTACGTTTTTTTCAAATCAAAAGAGAAACAAACTACTATTGAAGTTATTAATTTATCGAACTGTGTAATAACTTATAAATTAGACGAGAGACGTGTGTAAGAGTGATTGGAGGTTTTGTTTTTATGGTATGTTGCCACTGCAAGGCAACCCCACGCCCACCCACCCCCAACCTGTCTGTATTAAGGTTTTCTTCTTATCTATCTCTCTTCATTGATATTTATAATATTAGGGTAAATTACATACACCCCCCTGAGGTATGATCAAATTACAAAAACCCCCCTCTTGTTTGGATAATTACATCTACCCCCTCAACTATGATTTTTTCTTAGACCTCCACTTGTATGCTGCCAAATTCAACTATAGTCATCTAGCTTCCGTGTAATGCGCTCTAGTCGGTACTCTTTGTATGTCAATATACAGCTTCCGATGCACCACAAACT